CATGTCGATACCAGATACAAGCCACACAAATTCAGCATTCCACCGATTTTCCTTGGTCATACCTTTGTCAGGTCTGTCTATTCACGCAACCTTTTGCTCTGGCTGTGATTGGTTAGTTGTTCAGTTGTTTGATCAGTACCTATCGTCTCATGTGTAACTGGAACAATAAATAAGACAGGATTTTTTTCTGTCATTTTGCGTTATCCCGATCGGCATTATTTAGAACGTATATCTTTTTGTGACTAAGAAAATCTGTTTGATATGACTCTCTCTCTCTCTCTCTCTCTGTGTGTGTGTGTGTGTGTGTGTGTGTGTTAAAAGAACCGCCTAATGACTCGACCCAGCTGTGGATACAACATGGGGGTTGGTAGAACTGATTGGTCACAATAAAAATCGTTTGAATCATGTAGCTAGCGCCATCACGTGATACGATCACATATGATGTTCGATCCAATGAACACGTGTGTGTGAGAGAGAGAGAACAGATGGTGATGATGACGTCCTAGATGCTGTAAATACTTTCACTATGTTCCTTATCGTGCTTCCGTCCACGGAAATGGTTCGGGTTTTGCACTAGGTATTTCATACATTTTTATCGTAATTTATTTCTGTGATCTTAGGTGGTAGTGAGGTATTTTCTAACACTAACTCTAGAACAACTATAAGCTTCCGGTCAATGGGGACCATACCTTTTTCAGTTTAAGATGTCCGAATATGAATTTAAGATGTCATGTTGCTATGTGGATAGTACCTTGCACAATACAGAGTGAAAGCGTTCGATAGGACTCCTGTTTACCCAGATCCATGTGCGTCCTACCTGCATACTGATCTATGGCCCCCGAAAATTGCTCGTTTGCTTGGTCAAATGAGAAATGTGGTCATCGTGTGAGAGACCCCACCAAACCCTAAAGCGCTCCTTTTTGTTTCGTATTCAACCAAGCCTTCGTCGGTTTGTACATGGTGGCATAGCTCTGACTGAATTGTGCGTTGCATTATCCAGTCTGTGTGTGCAAACAAGCAGACAAGGTGCTCGTCGGTGTTTCTATTGAACGTAGGACGATATTTTCGGGGGGCCATAAATCAGTATGCAGGTAGGACGCACATGGATCTGGGTAAACAGGGGTCCCATCGAACGCTTTCACTCTGTACTGTGAAAGGTACTATCCACATAGCAACATGACATCTTAAATTGATATTCGGACATCTTAAACTGAACAAGGTTTAGTTTAGTTGGCATCGGTACAAATAGTATCTGACTTCATTTAAATGCCTTCACCCTCAAAAACTTGAAATATCTAATACAGGGAACAGGAATGGTCTACGAGTGCTCTCTTATCGGTCGGTTGCACAATCACCGTGATTGTGTACACATCTGTCTTTATTCTGGTCAAGTGGGGAAAGAACGCTGTGCGGTAAGGCGGAAATGAAGATAACTTAAATGGGATATTATTCACCCAATTGGCACTTATCTCTCCCTTCACTTATTGGTTCCATTGTTGCATAAAGAACAATTTGCATTGGTGCCAACAGGATCGGCGTTCTTTACTTGCACCCATCAATTTGGACCGAAGGGAGATGGTGACTCATTGATCATGTCAGCATCGTGTCTTACTGTCCTATCCTACCAATTTGATTTAAATTTTGTTGGAACTTACCGAACCACCGAGGTGCATGATTGATCGGTGATATCATGTCTCAAACAGACAGTTTCAGCCCTCAGTGCGTTTTTTATCGCTTCCCAACTGTGGCAATATCTGTCGAAAACTCATTTTGCTCATTTTGTCTTGCTTTGCGGATGTATGTATGTATCTGTGTAGATCACATATAAAAGCACTCTTCGAAACTTTCATCCAGAAATATCCTACATTTCCTCGCTTTATGACACTTTTTTGTGAACGTTCATAAGACCACCTAGTTGGGGACAGATTGCGGTTGTTTACCACAGGATGTTCCGCATGTTCTAATTACATACATTTAGAAACAGATTAATCAATTAGGTGCACTCTGATCCCCTTGGAATGCATCTTGTGGTATGACTTCAATAATACGAGAAACAATTGTTCAGGCTTATGTCACCCCAGTTTAGGTTTAAACTCGCATTCTCAGATCGATATTTTCCAAGTGGTTGGTAGCTTATTCAACTATCGCTCGCTCGAACAATTTTCGTGTGGGATAGTAATTAGTTCCAGATCGTTACCCCGAGTCCAGTACAGTAGATGATCAATACACTTCCAGAGTACAACGCGCTATATTTGAACGCACAATTTCGAATCAATTGTCTGTGTACACACTGAGCGTTAGATTACTCCTTAAAGATCGGTGCTCGAATCCTTCTGCCGTGAACCCAATTTGTTAATAAACAACTCTGCCGTCGTATAACGCGGTATCATCCTGGTTTTCGTATGATTTTATTTGGTTTCCAACTCTCAGCGAGCAAGATTAGATTTCCTGTAAACGGTGAGCTTCACGGAATGAAAGACTAATCTGTTCGCTTCGTAGAATAATGCGACGGGACTGACTGCTGAGCCTCATAGAACCTTGAGTGAAAACCCGCCTTTGTAGCTTTCATTCTCACTATGATTGGTTATGGACACATTTTAGGACTGTTTAGGCAGACGCGTATCAAGCATGTGCAATATTTTAACCTCAGAGGGACTGTTTTTCGAATAGGTTTTTTTATTCTTACTCATTTGTGTGTGTGTGTGTGTGTGTGTGTGTGTGTGTGTGTGTGTGTGTGTGTNAAGTGTGGACCAGGAGATCAGGAGACTCTGCTGTTTACTTATAAAAGCTAACCCGGACGACAAGAACGCTGCCTACCATCATCTTTGGGTTACACATTGGCATCGTTCGAATCTGGGACTCGGAACACATTAGTGATGGCGACCTGAAATGCGTTACCACCACCACCATTCCGTTTTGTCTTCATATTAGTTACACCATTCCGTTGTTCTATGAAACGTACTTGTTGATTGCCTAGACTGAAAATGTCGGAGTACACTGGACTCAAAGGCTCATTAGACAGGTTTCATTATCATCATTGTACAGCGTAATACAGTGAAGCGAACTTCACTGATCGCTGCTAAACTCATATTGCATACAAGGTAAGTGAGAATATGTAAGGAAAATAAGGATTGGACTCAAATTTAGGGTCCGGAAAATAAAGCGAACCTCTATGGTCAACATAGAGTACACAGTCCAACTGTGCACACATACAATTTCAAGCATTCTGGTTTGATAAGAAGTAACAGCAAGATCGCCATTACTGTCGACTCGCAGCCATGACCCTCAGTGTCCCTAACCATACATGCGGTTACGGAGTCTTTTGGACCCCAACCCGGAAGACGAGAGACACCTACTCTACCTAATCGCTTTGTGCATTTATTTATGCCTCGTCTCCACGTTATCTGCTGGCCTCCACGTGGCTTTCTCCAGCCTACAACAGCCACTGCAAATAAGGCGCGCTGTGGCAGGCGACCGACAGACATACGTAACACGTGACCTAACCAACGGAGCCTATTGAGCTGATTCCGATGCGATAGCGATTTCTTGTTCGATGAAGGTTTTAAGGAAGGTTTTAAGAGTGGTAATGATCTCACACTATGTAGTAGCCAAGGAATTGTCTACGCGAGTTATTTATAGGAGGCAGGGACAGTGTTAGGTCTAGAAACTTTTCCGCAACCCCACAGATCTGAATTGCTTGCAGAAGTGCTACTGCAGACGGAACGTCTCCATCACATTCAGACTGAGAACCAGTGTATTGATGAGTATCCCTGATCTTCGTCCTTTTACCGAAGAGAGCAGCAGTCCTTTATCTATCTCTGATCGCTTGCTTTACATGGAAAGTACAACGACCACACTTTGATGAAACACTTAAAACGGTTTATGCCATACGAAACTGTCAATTAGATATTCATTATCTACTCTCTTTCAAACACGGATTTCCTATTGTAATTACTGTACTTTATCGTATCTTTCTCCTGTGTTCAGGTAACCATGGTACGTAGCGAAGATGCTCTCCTAGCCATCCGTGATCCGAACCCGTGTATTGATGGACGCAAAGCGAATGTGAATTTAGCCGTCCTTGGAGCGAAACCACGTCTTATGCCCGGTGGTAAGTACTCAATGTCCTTGCCTTGATAATAAATGTTGTCGCTACCCATTCGTTATTTGTTGTTCGGCATAGTATATATATATATAGTGCATACATTAATCTTGTTTTTGTCTCTCCTATTCGATGAATCTTCTTCCACCCCCAATTACAACCACACACACACGCCAGTGTGTGTGTGTGTGTTACGGTGTTGCCAATCAGTGCGATTGAAGTTTTCATAACCTGTTTGATCACGTGATCGGAAGCGGCTTCGGTTGCGGTGTTTGGGTGAAGAACTACCGATCACATGAACCAGCATGAATTCAACACTAAGTGATAGAGTAGAAAAAACTAGCCGCCAAAACAGAACAAACTCTTAAAAAAATCGATACAATTTTTAGCGTTTGTACGGACACAAAAAGTTGAAATTCATCAAATCCCGTTTGTTGATTGAATGATGTATTTTGTCATTTAATTCTAGTCAATACTGACCAACCAAGAATAGCTGATGTGCAGATCAGACTGATGGGGTGGTACTGGAAATTCGTGCAACCATATCATTTGAGCGTTATCAAGTAATTTGATTGCCGCTACCCCCACCCCGAATAATTCTGCTCATCCTTGAGTGGTNATAATAATAATAATAATAATAATAATAATAATAATAATAATAATAATAATAATAATAATGACAATAATAATAACAATAGTCTACATAGTGCCTTTTTAACGTGGTAAATATACAATGGTGCAGTTCATTTCCAAGACTGGTGCTGCCATCAATTCTGTCAGCGATATTAACCGTCGATGTGGGGATTCGGGATTGCAAGCGATTTTCATACCGATGTTATTGTAACTTGTACAGCTAGACTAATGCCTATCCAGGTGAACAGGGTCGAGNCGTAAAAACATGGCCATTAACGAAACAGGATAAAGATAGAGTGTCGGTGTTTGAACACTACTGTCTACGCAGTATTGCACGAATCTTGTGGGGCAGTCGGACGAGCAATGCTGAGGTTAGGCGCAGAGTTTTAGGTAATCGCGGTCTCCCACTGGAGCAAATGGTTGACCTCCATAGATTACGTTGGTTGGGGCATGTTTTACGCATGTCACCAAATAGGTTATTACCACAGCGAGCGGTGTTCACCGAGGTAGGTAGTGAGTAAAATGAAGTCAAGGATGAACAAACTAAGACCTGGCATGAGGGCATGAAAATCCTAACCAGGAGACTGGGTCACATAGGTCCCGTTAGGCTCCCTGGATGGGACCTTGGGATTATCGTAACCGATGGTTAGAGACACTGAGTGATATGTCTGGATGTTGTTATCAGTGGAATTCGTGCATCTTCTCAATTTCTTTGCAGCCTTAGACACCTGAAATTCTCCATTTTCTGTTTGACTCTACCTTTCACTTTCCTGTTATTCTCTTATTCTTCATCCGAATGGGCAGCCAGAGGACAGCAACCAAAACCACCGCACGAAAGTGCATGGTTAATGAGTGTATAAACTGAACTGAACTGAACTGAACTGAACTTGTTCGAGGATCCACTCTAAGCTTGGTGCAACCAAACCCAAGCTACAAGACAGTGGCGTGGATCTGGTTTCTTCCTGTGTTAGAAGTTTTGTCATGTAGATGGAACTCGGCACGGGTATTTTCAGTGTGTGTGTGGGGGGGGGGATCACACTGACCACATCACTGCACTCTCTCCACCGAAATGATTGGGTTATTTTTCTTCTCTGGAGATCCCTTGCCAATAAGTAAACCCACCACATGCTCGACCAATACCGCTGATCGTCCGCGGCCACTTATTCAGTGAGCCGAGCTCGCCGGATTCTCATGATCAGTCGCGAAATGGAGACCGTCCTCCTGTCCGTGACCTCGGTATGCATTCGGCTGTACCCCAACCTATGATTGCATTCTCCAGTTTAGTAATGGTACTTGTGAAAATGGAAAGTTCATTTTCCGAATATCGAATCCCCTTAAGACTTTATTCTTTGTTATCCTACCTCACACGATGTGCTTGCTTAGTGCTAGAGCGAGTTCCGGCTAGGCTGCTATTCTCGTCCTCAAACGAGGGAAACTTCTTTTGAATCAAACGAATTGCTAAACGCATTTGTTTGGATTGAAAACCAAGCTGACTCCCAACCATTATTCGACCACATTTCAAATTTCCGAAACTATCAGAAAATCGAATGGTATAACAATCAATTCTGATTAAGCCCGATCTGTCTCCGGTCTAGTCGTGATATCGGTTAGACCAAAACAAGATGATTTAGAATCCATTCGAATGGATCATCCGCTATGCACACCATAGACCATCTCTGAGAGTGGGATCGTGCAAGCGATCAATAGCACGAAATCGACCCTTCGAAGTAATTCGTTGATACATTTGAACCTGATCCGAGTGTGTTTTATATGTATGTACTAATTCCGGTTTATGGACTGACTGGTTTTACGCTATCAACATCCAAACAGTTCGTATCGATGTGTGTGTGTGCCCTTGTGCATGCGTGTGGTAGTGTGAGTGGCTGAGGCGGGAGATTGAGTGCGCCTAACGCGACCTCTAAATCATCACATTTGGTGTTGTCGCTGGCACTTACAAACAAACAAATAAACAAACAAACACACATACGACAACGAGTCTTCTCATACACTGTGATTTGTCATGTGGCGGCTAACTTGAATCGAGATTTATTGCAAACAATTTGGGTTGGATAAGAAGCGAGCTTCTGTTGATCCGTCGATAATCGCGGAGGAAGAAGCACGCGAACGCGCGCCAGCGAGCGGGCAAGCGAGAGACAGAGAGAGAGAGAAAGAACGATCATGTGTCTCGTGATTAGTGACGATGCTTTTGATCTCCGCCCCATTCGAGATTCGCGCTCGTGATACTCGACAGTAAACACTGTGTCACGCCCACTTCTGAGTCACGCAGCCAATCCAATTCAACTGTCTTTCTCAATACGCGGTTTACTTTCCGCACAAATAATGCTAACGGAGATGAGTTTACTGTCCACGATCACTCATCATAGTCTTCCGTTCCGGAACCAGTCGTACAGAATCAACTATTGCTATCCGAAATCCTGCTCACGACAAATGTGTGTAACGCATAATAATCACTTTACAACGGAAATAAAATATATTGTAATGGGGGAGGTAAAAGTAGGATTGGTAGTTAATGCCAGAAAATGGGACTCTGAGCTAACCCCTTCGTTGTTCTAGGGTTTTTCTCCTCATGTTACTTTCCTTTATTGAACATACAAAGCTACAAATTTTCAGGAAGAGGGAAGCGGCCAATCAAAAGGCTGCCATTCAACACACACACAATGGCGGAAGTCAAGTGGTGGTGTTGGGATTCGAACACATCCCCGGGGTGATAATTTGGTGACGTTACCACCGGGCCACCACCGGGCCCATTTTCCCACTGTCCCATTGTTCAGAGGGAAAGAGGAGAGAAAAGGGAATGTTACGTCACTGCACTATTCCCTAAGTTAAAGAAAGATTATGGAAATTCTGTTTGTTTGTTTTTTCTGTTTCTGGGGCGGATGCTTGATAAGCGAGTGGTCTGTGCCCTCTTGACTTACGAGTAGTAATCCCTGGGGTGGAATGGGGAACAAATGAGACAATCTCCATGAGGTGAGATTGGAAAGACAGTTGTGAAATGGTTCCGAACCGACCCGGTGACTGCACTTCGAATCGCTCGGAAAGGTGCGGGAATAAGTAAAAATGCCTAACGATCAACTGAATAAACTGGAGATAATATGAACCCGTACAATGATAGAAGATTAACTGAAGAAAGGAAGTATAGAGGTATAGATAATTTAATCACGTTCATCCTTTTTACAATAAGCAGGATACCAAATATCGGTTGATCAAATTGTGATGGGACTTGAGATATCGTTTCACAGGGAAGTACCAAGCTGTAGAACGAAAACAGAGTATGTGGTAGACAGTGAAATGGAGATAAAAGGGTCCTTTCAAGCATCGAACGAAACCCGGTTGTTGAAACGCTAAGTTTGTACTTCTACTACTACTACTACTACTAATAATAATAATAATAATACCGTGTTCTCAAGTTATCTTCAGTGGCGGCGATCCTAATGAACTTCGTCACTGTGAGCAACCCTGCTTCGATAAGTGAACCATTCCATAGCCACCGATCCGGTTTTGTGGTCGAAGGCAATGCCCATTTCGTTCAGATTCATCGCATGCCAGTTTTTCCAAACCTTTTTTAAATTTTTGATAAGCACTGTTGAATATTATATTCTGGTGGACACCATACCCAATCTCTCTTGTTTATCACTCTTTACCCCGTGACAATTAAAAGATAAGATCCCCACGAGAAGCACTGTTTACTGTCCTGTAGTGTGTAGTTTGCCGTTCCGAACGGTGCTATGAGACTTTTTTTAAGCGCATACGTTGCACCAACTGATTGTTATTTAACAGTTCAGCTAGCTAGCCAGCTAGCTCTATGCTGCCGCTCACAGGATACATATGTGCCACCCACGGGATTGCGGATACAACCGTACATTTTGGAGACCTGGTTGTTTGCCCAAGATTTTCACTCACTCTGTGTGTGTGTGTGTGTGTGTGTGTGTGTGTGTAAGTGCAGAGTTTTCATGAGCAAGAGCACACACACATTCATTACATTTGTGATCGGAGCCGTGATCACAATTTTTTCACGGAGTGGGGGCTCAAGGGGGGAGGAAGGAGTAATTGGAGCGGATTTGGTGCCACTATAAACTTAGATACATGTATACGTCTCATCCGCTTTGATCGATCGCCGTTGTTAGACGCGACCTGGTTTTACGACTTTGTACGTTCCATAATACCGTCTACTGTGAAACGATCGATTAACCAACTACTCTAGCAGTCCAATAGTCGTACCGGCTGTTAACTGGGCGTTTCCGTGGTGAAACTAGTTATAGGTACTTGTTCCCCCTCCGATTTCAGATATATATGCAGGTCTAATCGAATAGTGCATGTATGGGTAAATAAAATTGAGTGCACATGTGTATTTGCGTTTATGTACGCGTGTGTGTGTGCATAATACTGACGGGCACCACAAACGTTTGGGAGCGGTCGTTTCGAATCCATTTCTTTCTACAATTTGATTTCTTCAGGCCATCTCGGGAGAACAGTTTTCATCCCGTTCCGATTTTCAGGAATCAGAGACGAAGCGTGCGATTCGTCAAACTGCTGTGAGTAGTATGTTTGGATTGCGCAAAAGAACGTGATTGGTTGTTTCTCTAAGTGTTATCACAACATAATCCTCTGATGAATTTTATCGTGTACAGCGCATTTGAAGCGTGAACTGCAAAGCTAGGATGTACTGTTTGGACCTGGTTCGGTTTCGTCATCACAGTGCGAATACATCGACGAATTTCACCTTTTGGTCAAACCAAATCCTCCTCTGCTATCATGTAACAATCTAAAGAACCGATTTTACGACCATGAACAGCCATGATTAGCAGTCAAAAATGCTTCGTGTCAAGTCGGTGGTGCGATCAGCGCGTACGACTTGGTTGCAGAAATATACTTCGGCAAATCGTTTAACAAATGAACAGCACTAACAAAACTGAATTCCCGTATACAGCGATCACAAAATGGGGTCCTGATCAGGAGGACGTTCACAAATTTTTTAGGTTCCATTTCGGGAACAAAATGGGTCATTTCCATGTATCCGGTTGATCGTTGTGATACAGCCGTCTCGTCTACGCTTGTTCGAGGCTGTTTGTGTGAGCGGTGGTGGGGATACTCCAAATAGTAGTATGTTTTGTGAGAACTGAGCTCCGGTTTCAATCGTACTGGACCATTGATCTCCTAAGGTGCAGTACACTACCCGGCCCTGGATGTGAATACGCCCGTGTGTGTGTATACGCGCGTGCGCGCTGGATGAAAGAGGAGATTGTGAACCAAACACACAAAGCAGTTGACCCATTCAAACCGCATCATTCCACTGCCTCAATCCCTATGCTGAGCTCGGGTATATCGTGCGGGTCGATTCGATTGATCAACAAAATCTGAATTCAGGTCATTTGATGAACCGGAAAGGCCAACTTCGTCAACCTCCAGGTTGATAAGCCGTTCACCCGGAATTCGGTGTGATGGACACGTGAAATCGGTTTAGATTGATTTGATTGTTCTCATATCGCGCCTATTTGTGTGCCCAAGATGGTAGTACTACTGGCAAACACGATGTCAATTTAAAAGGACGCGTTTTTGTACTTCATTCCACCAACAAAAATGAAATGTCAGCTTGGAAAAGAAAGCAGCTAACTGTTTTGTTAAGTATACAACGAGGCAGCTGAGCACCGTCTGCAGTCATAACCCACCGGGATAGGCTGATATCTCTGAATTTCTCCCGTCTTGAGTTGAAATCTCCGATTTTGGTTTCCGGTGCCATATCCATTTGTCGTCCAACTACCACGTTCACGATGAAACGATCCGACTTGGAGTCACAATATTGTCATCCAAGTATGGATTATAGTAGTAGTACCTTGAGTGTGTATGTCAGGGTCAGATTAATAAATTTGGTCCTACATCACTACATTCTTTTTTCGCCAGCTATTGTGTTCCATTGGTTGTGCAGTCCACGTATTTCGTGTTTCTATCCCCGAAGGAGCACTTTAGTTGGTCCTAATGTGATACCAACCAGCTACGAAATGCTTGTTAACGAGCCGATCGTTTTGGGCGGGCCGCACACACGCTTTCAATGAATGGTTTACCTGTAGGTGTGGGAGGGGGTCATTGATCTGTCCACACACACACACACACACACACACACACACATAGAGAGAGAGAGAATGACATTGATGATAACCAGTATCTTGTTCACCATCAGTTTGAAACATCTCTTTAACTCGAAATCGAGGTTAGGGGCGGGCATTTGGTGTCGAACACGAATAAGGGTTATCCATACGTCATACGACCTTGATCGAAGCACTTTTAACCCAGGAGGCTACTCTGCTATCGATAACATGTTAATGCCCCATAGTGATGGTGATGGTGACCGCGATCTGAGTCATCTTGTTTACAGTGATGCGGATGTGTAGGTCATCTCAAAAGGTCACCGTTTCGATAATCGGTCGAATCGCTTGATCAGATCGTGCATCGAATGATCGATCCATCAGACAATTCAGAACAGATTTGTTTCCTGGTTGTACAGATTGGTGGAAGGGGAAGAGAACACGAGTATCTCCTTTATTCCGTGATCCCACAGTAGATCTCGTCATGTTACCGTGTAGCATTCATCAAGTGCTATATCACTGTTAAAAGATCACAATCGTGCACATCCGGTAATTCACCAGGGTTCCAGCCAAGGGATGCGAATTGAAGATTAGGGGAGTGGGGCTAGCATTTTCAGCATTGTATTTAATGAAATATTTCACAATGGAATGCCATTTTAATTGAGAAGACCAAGCGTAAGTACAGAACACTCTTGTAAGCTCGACATTTAATGAGAGATCTGCTACCCGAAACATCTCACCAAATCACGGATGAGCACGTAAAAGCTTACTCACGATCCGTATTGATGACAATCATTTACGCAGGACGGTATAAATTGGTTCAATGCTATCGGACAGAATGTTGTAACAGAAATGGGGACCGGAATATAAGGTTTTTGTCCCAATAGCGACAGAGCAAAACTTGAGCGAAAAGATTGTACCTCGCAAATCATCCAAACATTCGATCAGTTAGTCAGTTGACCGGGACAACATGGTACTCCGTATTTTGCCAAACGCTATCAACAAATGATCCATGTGTGTGTGCTGCGATCCACTGATTCTCATCCACGAAACGGTAAAACACAGGATGATTCCGTAACTAATCTCTGTACACCCACAATCGGTTTGTCCAGGGTCTGACGTAACAGCAGTGTGAACGCAATTGAAACGCGCGTGGATCTCTCGTCTAGTAATGTTGGTACATCACCATGCGCAGCAGTGTGCTGTCGCCACACAGTGGGTAATCACGAGTTTAGGGTTAACATTTCAATGAACACATCTCATCTCATTACGCTTCATAAAAAGCTTGATAAGATTTTTAGCGTTGGGAGAAAAGACTGATAAGGTATTGGAACTCTGAAAACCAATGCATTCTATAGCATGACCGATTGATGCTAATTGTGAATACGAATGGTTTATGGGAGGAAGCAAGACATATTTCGAATGGCTAGTCCAGGCACCCATGACCTAATAGTAGAATCCGTCTGTGTTCCGAAGATGTTGAGCAAGACCCGTCTACTTGTAACGAAGATCCATCTCTCCCGTGTGCTTTGATTGTTCCTTTCCACAACACCATGAATAGTCAGAAGTTTGGTCTTAATCAACCTGAATTTTGTCATTTCGAATCGGCAATTTTTTCTTCTTTTCACACGATGTAAGAAGCACAAATAATCGGGCTCACTGGTTGGCCAGAATCTTTAACACGTAAACTTGGACGACACGAGGCCATCGAAAGAACACAAGGCAATGAAGTTTGGTTGGTAAAAAGAATTGTGTTTTGTCGGATTGCAACTTAATGCTACTGCAAAAAGTGGTCTGCCACTGTGTGTGTGTGTGGTTAGGCACCGGATGGCTTCGGTGAACCGCTATAGATAATAGGAATAAGTTAGCCAATTCTGGAAAATTTTCAAGCAGATAGCTAGCTGAGTATAATGACTGTTTTGTGATCAAAAGTCGTGTCTCGGATCTTCTTGTGTTGTGTTGTATGAATGTTTCCATATGTGTATGCTCATGAGAATGACTCAATCAACGTCGGATGAAAAAGCCTATATTTGTTTCCGGTCCCACAAATCTGATTGGCCGCCATCGACGATTCTTTTTGTCAACGTTTTCTTTTTTGACACTGTGATTTGGTGACCGATTAAGTAATTTGTTTTAGTTATAATACAAAATATTCTTATGTATTCAATCGGTTCCTCATAGAATGTTTGTGTTTTTGGTCTTTTGGGAACAGTTTACTTGTGTTTACTTCAGTTTACTTTGCCTTGGCTTATTAATTTCTGATGAAAAAGCTTTATCTGTTGTTGTTGTTGTACCTCTCGGATGGAGTGAGTGCAATCACCTCGTGAGTTGTCCCATCGGCCAGTTCTGTGCTCCACTTAAAAGATCGTATTGGTTAGTAACGGTTTTTGGTGCCGTGCGCATACCACCATCACCGGCTCCGTAGTCAGATTGACTTGTATATTTTATATATTCTCACACACGTCTGAATCCAGACTGTATGCCAAACAAATCATAAAAAAGCGTCCATGATTAGCATGTGGGTTGAATACTGCCAGGTTGCTCAGGCAAAGGCAGGTGAATTTCCTTGAGGAATGGGCGCCATCGTCTAGCCAAAGCCTGACGCGCAAGGCAGCGGGCGGTGTACGAAGATCTAAATCCATTGGGGGTCCGGTGTCCAGTTCATCGAATGCCCAATACACCTCGATGCCGATCGAGCCGGTGACCGCTGCCACAACCAGGAAGTTGTGTGTGGTCCGTACGACCCCTCATGGTTAGTTTTTAATCAGGGTTTTTGACCAACTCCCCCAGATGGTCCAACACCCCGGTTATACCCACGGATGTCGGCTTTTCGTCCTCTCACTTTGGTGGGAAACACCGCCACGGGAAGGCAGTGAGTAGAGCTTCCTCAGTAGAGGCTGTTCGAGACGCTTGGTCGTATGGGAGCATTTCGCGAGATGCAATGGGAGGGTGACCAGCCGCAACGCTGGACTCAAGTTCGACCATGCTGAGGCTTTTGGAGGTATCAGGTTGAATTAAACTATGATTAATCCGAAGCCTTGGCTTGTCATGTACTTTCGGTCCCCATCATCCGCTCATCCGCTCTTGACTCATACGTAACTGTAGCCTTTTTCTTTCAACAATGTGCGATCACATGAAGCAATAATTTTTACAGAATGTCAGATTGGTGAATCACAAGCTGTCCACAACCCAGGACAACTACACTGAAAATGCAAACTATGTTGACATGCTGTCAGGGTTGTTGGCGCAATGTTGATGATCCTATCATTATACCGGTTAAAGGCAAATAGCCGTGAACAACAAGAAGCCTTCTGTCTTGTCTTCGTCTAGCTGCAGGTGATTTTTAAAGGTTGCTCTCCTCCAGTTTGTCTATTATTTGCGCGGAAACACTTCGGCTTGGTAGCCCGTGAACGCCTATGCAAGATAACCGAGTATCAACGCGTACTAGAACCGTCGATGAACGGGAATTTCCTCACGAGGGGAGTTAACTGACTATCGATAACGGAAGAACACTATACAAACACCATGAATCAAGGGAAATACGAATAATGTAAAGAGAAGACAGGTTGCCAAAAGACATACATTTTGTACATAAATAATCGAGAGAATATGTGGTGAGAGAGCTCAAATCATGCCACAACTCACTCGCATCAGATGTCACGTAACTGGTCAGCCTCGCTATCGACCCCGCCAGTGTTGATAGGCTTAGTGATCATTGATCTGTATTTCACCCGTTTACCCTGTAAATCGTGTTCACACGATTACAGTCAGCCAGATCAAGTTCAGTGACTTGTGTTTCTCACAAACTAGAGGCGTACAGTTAGAACAGAATAAATGCCTTTCCTTCATTACTGTGAAACTAAAGTTTTGAGGAAAAATATCACTCCGAACGCATATACGTGTTAGAGTCGATCGTTATAAAAACCCCTGGATTCGTCATTCTGCAACGTCCTTTGTAAGCCATGCGTACATAAATCGGGTTTTAAGTCATCCTTCTTAGGCATTTTGGAGCCCAATTCTAGTTGCACATGAGCATGTTTACAATTAGTCTAGTCTTCTTTTTATTCCGTCAATCGGATGACCGTGACACTTGGCTAATCATTGCACCCGCACTGAATCCATATCGATTCTCGAAGCACACTGGCCATTGCAATACGGATGCACTTCGTTCGTCAATGCACTTTTCCACTCGGGTGACACTTTCCACCACACTCAACCCTCCTCCCCCCTTCCCTCGTCATGACCAACAGACTGTCACCACCGTGAGTCTAATCAAATATCAATTGTTGATGTCGGACCGATCAATAGCGGATACGAAACAACTGTCTGTGTTTCCCGAATGAATAATAACAGATTGATGAAGTTATTTTGTCAAGTGCATCCAGTTGGTTGTATTGTTTTCAGAGTTAGTAAATCCGTCACACGTCATGCGCTCTAATCGCCAACTATTCTCTCAATATTCGTGGATTAGGATAGAATACTCACGATCGACCGCGAACTTCCGCTAACGGATAATCTCAACACTGGTAGTTATGAGTAATCTGATACCGTATTTGAAATAGTGATATCTCACCCCGGACGTCAACCGAACCTACTCGTCAATTTGGATCAGCCAATCAAAAATGCACCGTTTAGTGATAGTACTGGTATCAATAGTCCCAATTTATTTCCCTCCCACTCAAATTCTAATAGGGTAGAATACGGGAATGGTCTAGGCAGACACGCACGCTGGATTTCTCACCCGGTCGGTCCCGTTTCTTGAGATGGAATGTGGGGACATGATCTGAGAGATATACGGGCGTTACAATCTGATTGGTGGTTTATCTCCGTTCCTGTTGGCAGTCTTAGTGAGCAAGTCAATTCTGGAGTAGACACCAGAGCAACGATTCTGATTCAATTCCACCTCTCCTCCATCTTATAACATTGCTCATTGGTTGTTTTGTGTAAAGCAGGTGATTGTCCGAAGATAGACTGATTGGTGCAAAGAGCATTTCCCATAATGATCGTGAACGGCACAGAGTGTTTGTATCCATCTTTGGATCGTTACGTGCTCGAATTTCTCCTCTGAGCGTGAAATAACTAGCCGTTTTTTTAATGAAACGGTTCACGAACAATCTTAACATCTGGAAATGTACGTGAAATCGGACAGAACAAACATTTCGCTGATTAAGCAGAGATTTGCGCTCATCAAGTCCAGTATTGCCCAGATCCCACATGCATACGGTATGAGAACTTGCATCTACTGGACACCACTTCAATAATGGCTTAGCGGGTGGTTGATTCTCTTCTCATATTGGTAAACACCA